CAGACCTTGCTGCCACATACCATTATTCTTAACGATCTTTGACCCTGCTTAACTTAATCCTGTATGCGATTCATTGGAAAGAAACATCTCTAGGAAATACTGCCTCAGATTCCAGAATTTGTAGTTTTCATCAGTTTTTTGAGGATGCCTGGAACTGCTATCGCTCTGGATTTACACTTAAAATTTTCCACCTAATTTTAGAGCCGACCCCTAAACGCGAACCCATTCTAGAGCTCATCTAGTGATTGATCGTCACTATACAACCACCAGATGTATTCTTTGCTGAATTCTCGCATGTCATTGGGTTAGTACGCAGTTCTCTCGTATCCTGATCTCATAGTGCTAGCGGAATCTGCTGATCCTCCGTAGCTTCTACTTCCAGAACGACCATATTCTCCACCGGATGCCGCACCTCCAGTATAGCCACTATGACCCGGTTGTTCGATGTCGTACGAAGGTTGCACTTGCGCTGCTGCTCCTGACCTACCCCATGTGCCTGTGTCATCTGAAATCGACATTTTGAAGCAGAAAATATGATATGGATAGCTGGTGATCCCGCTGTCGCGAAATTCCGTGAAAAGCCGACAAAAGATGTGTGTGTATTCTAATAGGTATAAAGTATAATATATATGGGTTCCAAATTATGTACGGAGCACAAGGACCGGTGGTGTAGTGGTACCACCATTTTAAAAGGAGCAGTTCAATTCCCATTCGGTCCAGGACAATTTTCGAAAAAGGGCTCCGTTCGGGACGCCTATTCACGCTCCAGCTCGCGCAAAGTACTTGCTTCTCGAACTGCGAGAAACAAAAATGCCTACACGCTTTATGGCATGCTCGAACTGTTTCTATCATTTCACCTTTTGCAAAAAAATAAGACTTTGCAGCGATGACCATTCGAGCTTCGAAGGTTAACTGTTTTTCTGAAACTAGTATACTGTACTCATTTTATCCCATCCTTACTCTAGTCTTGCAAATCACTCAAATAGAGATCCTACTACGCAGCGCAAATGAGAGGCTCTACTGATTCCCACTCTTACTCGCACGTAGAATTCTGTCTGTAAAGACGGCTAAGGAATAAAGCATAACGCATATACTCCATATTCCTATTATAAAAATATAAATTGTAATTCTTGCACCTGCTGCGCTAATATTTCCAGTTGGGTGGAATTAACAGATTATTTGTGAACGAAAAGTCTGCATACAGAACAGTTTTCAAACAAACATACCGCTTTTCAGCCTTATTTCCGTGCCGGAACCAGTTTCGGTCATGCCAGTGCCTTCAGCTCCGGTACCCAAATCATCTAAGCTTGCTGCACCACTTGTCCTACTGGTGTCCTCCCAGCCAGCTTCTCTGTCTGGTACCGTTATTCCACGATCTTGTGAGGGTAACTGTCCTGAGCTACCGGTACCCCATGAGACAGGTTGCTGCGCCCCACGTGTGTCCCAGGAGGAGGGTTCTTTGACACCATCAGCTGCTGTACTTGAATCCCAGAGGCTCGGTTGTTGAGTTTCGCCAGTTCTGCTTGCATCCCAAGAGGATGGCTGGAGAGCACCGCTTGTGTCCCAGGTGGTCGGTTGCTGAGCGGCGCCGGCGCTAGTTGCGTCCGAAAAAGAAGGTTGTCGGGCGCCAGTAGTACCCTTTTCATCCCAAAGCTGTTGTTGCGTAGCTCCAGCACCAGGCTGTTGGGCGCCGGTAGCTCCTCTTCCATCCCAAGGTTGCTGGGCGCCGATATCTCCCCTTTCATCCCAGGGCTGTTGTTGCGTAGCTCCAGCATCAGGCTGTTGAGCACCGGTAGCTCCTCTTCCATCCCAAGGCTGCTGGGCGCTGGTATCCCCTCTTCTATCCCAGGGCTGTTGCGTAGCCCCAGCAACCCCGCCATCTGGAAAGAGAGGTTGCCGACCACCGTCAGCGCTGCCGGTGGTGTCCCACGTCGACGATGGTTGGATGCCATCTTGTCCAAACGAAGACGCATCGGAACCAGAAGTGCCTGATCCGTGATCAGTGGTTCCTCGAACGGTTGATGAAGATGCCATTCCTGCATCAGTGTAACCTCCCGGTGCTCCATAGCTGCTGGTGCCGTACCCAAATCTGGTATCATATCCATAAGATAAACGCCCGCGTCCTGTAGCAGTTTCGTCAGATCGGGGAGGTTGTTGTCGTCCGGAAAAATCGTACAGCTGCGTGCTCCAGCCGCGACTGCCATCCCAGGCTTGGCCCTGTCCCACGTTGGTGTAGTACGTACTGGCCTGTGTACCGCTTCCCGCACCGCCACCGTATCCACTTGGCTGTACACCGCTTCCCAAAGCGGTACCATATCCACTTGGCTGTACACCGCTTCCCACGATACCACCGTACCCACTTGCTTGGGCACCGCTTCCCACACCGGTACCGTATCCGCTTGGTTGTGCACCGCTTCCCACACCGGTGCCATATCCAATTGTTTGTGCACCGCTTCTCACACCGGTACCGTATCCGCTGGGTTGCGCACCGCTTCCTAAATCATCATATCCACGTAGCTGTGCACCGCTTCCTACACCGCCACCGTACCCACTTGTTTGTGCACCGCTTCCCACACCGCCACCGTATCCGCTTGGTTGTGCACCGCTTCCCACACCGCTAGCGTATCCGCTTGGTTGTGCACCACTCCCCACACCCGTGCCATAGCCACTTGGTTGTGCACCGCTTCCCATAGAACCGTCATATACGCCTGCTTGAGCACCACTTCCTACAGCACCATCGTACCCGCCTGTCTGTGCACCACCTCTTCCACCACTGTAATCACTGGTCTGCATGCTTGGTGCACCCCCACCGTAGCCATATCCGGAGCCAACAGTGGTGACACGCCTGGATGTGGTACTGTATCGGGATGTTGACTCTTGTCGTCTTTCGCTTCCTCTACTCCAGTCGGAATAATGCTGTTGTTGGGTGGCCCTGTCCCATCCTGCGGGCACCCCTGCAAAAGCTCACCTGTTCATAAAGGGTAAGAAATTTGTTTTCCGCTATCAAGAAAGGGGCTAAAACTAGCATCAGCAGCCATCTAGCAGCAAAAAAGCATGAAATCGACGTTTTTTTTTTTTT